TGGGGACCCCCCTGCCCCGGCGCCCCGCGGCCAGCAACTCCTCGCCTGCTCCGCACTGGCACCCCGAGTTTGCCACCCCTCTTCCCATGGGACATGCTGGGCGCTTCCTTTCTGCTCTCCCATCTGCACCACACCGCTGAGCTCTGTGCCTCTGTGTGGGCTTTTCCCCACGGTTGCACACGAGCAGCAGAGTTCAGCTCAGGCAGCCCCTTCCCCCAGCCAGGATCCCTCCACGGCACACTTGTGTCCCCCCCTTGGACACAGCCTGGCCCCGTGGCAGCACAGCCCTGCACACAGCGCAGCTCTCCTGCATCGAGCAGCTCTGCCTGTGCCCCTCAGTGGGGTTGGTGCCCAGATGTGCCTGCCTGGCAGAGCCACACTGTGTGCCAATACCGGATCCCTCTGCTCCCCATGCACAGCAAGCTATGCTCTCTCCTGCTCCCTGCCTCAGTTTCCCCAGTTGGTAGTGGAGGGCTCAGCTTTGCTTGAAGGGCTGAGCTAAGGCCTTGACCTGCGAGTTGAGCAACTCTCTGCAGCCCTGCCCAGCAGCATGGCCATGGGGGGAAGCGCCAACTCGCTGCCCAGGACAAGCCCAGCACCATGCAGCCCTCCGGAGAAGTGCCCGGTGCTGGGAGGTGCGTGCCTGGTTGGGCTGCGCCAGGAGGGGTCCCAGCAGGACAAGCAGTGAGACGCCACCCCCGGTGAGCTCAGCAGATGCCTCGCCTCCCCCGGGGACTGCGCTGCAGGTCAGCGTGACCTTCACTGCGCTGCTGATGCCAACGGCAAAGCTTTCCCCAGTCGTCCGGCAAGCACATACACGTCTTCAATCTTCCCATCGATCTGTGCATGGCACACATGTTCCTGCCTCCCCGCGGGTCAATGCAGCATGATAGGCTGCCTCCGGCTGGGAGCACACGCCGTGCCAGCTGCCAGCTGCACCCTTCCCGGGTGACGCTGGGTACACGTGCCACCCTCATCAGCAGCCCTGCTGCTCACCGGGGTGCGCCCAGGTGCATAACAGGGACAGGCAGCCCGAGCGCTGTCACTGCATGTGTGTGGCGAGACGGATGTAGGACACTGCAGCCTGGTCCCCCAACACCTGCAGCAGGTAGAAGTGTCCAGGACCTGCCAGCCTGGCCTGGCACCCGTGTGGGCAACATGGACCAAACTTCTTCCCACTCTTTGCAGACCAGGCAGGTGCAAGCACTGCTGCATGGGGAGCCACTTCTCCTGGATCCATCTAGCTTAGCTGCAGGGCCACCTCTAGTTCCCTGCACTGCGTGACCCTGCACTGCAGCAGGGAGCACAGACTGCAGACCCCTGCCCTCTCTATGTGTCCTCTCTGTCTTTTGCCCCATTTGCAACTGCCCTATTAGCAAGGGCTGCTCATCGCCATCCTCCCCACACTATGGCTCAGTCTTCCACAGCCAAAGACATCCCTCTCCTCCCTCCTCTCCTCCACTTTGTCCTGATCCTACCCTGCTACCAAACCCACTGTCTGTGTGCAACAACAGCCAGGGGATGGGGGCTTGTGCCATTGCAGCCAGTGCCAGGGTTGAAGCTCAGTCAGGCCAGCTGGGGCTGGGATCAAGCCCTGACAAAGTAAGTGCTGCCCTGGGCACAAGCCCTGTTGCTGGCTGTGGCTGCAGACAGTGCCCTGCACGCGGGCAGGGTAGGGCAGCGGGAGGAGCTGTGGGTGTGAGCTGCGCACGGAGCTGGCAAGCAGGTCGGCATGCCCCAATGACTGCAAGCAGCAAGCCTGGAGCACAGTGCACTGGTCCACAGCCCTCCTGCACCCACGCCTGCAGGGTGTCTGTGCAGCCTGGCACAGGCCTGCTCTCCCAATGGGGACACCTGGATGGGCAACCTGAGCTCAGAGCGCAGGGAAGCGGCAAAGCTCAGGGACCACTTTCTCCTGGGACAGGCAAGGCAGTGAGCAAAGCTCCAGCTGGGAGAGGCCAGTCCTGCAATTTGGCAGCATGTCTCTGTCTCAGGCAGTTTGGCACTGAAGCCGCACACCTGCGGCGAAGCACGAGTGCACAGGGCGGGTGAAAAGCGGCAAAGAGGAAGTGCCGAACGCAGCAGGGCCGATCTGCATCTCAGCGTGCTGCGCCAGCAGCCCCCAGCTCTGTGTACTGTAATGCCAACAGCCCAAGAAACCCAGTGCCTCCGGCTGAGCCTTGCCGGTCTCACTGGCCGCTGCGTGAGTGAATGAACGAGAGAGCCAGGCAGTTTGGGAGACAGAGCAGCTGGGGGCATGGTGCACAAGGCCGCGTGTTGCACTCACAGATGACAGGGGGAGGCCGCGAGCGCCAGGGAAGAGAGCGCTGGAATTCAGGGCGATGTTGACAAATCGGAGAAATGGTCTGCAAACAGTGAGATGCGATTGGAAAGGACAAGTGCAAAGATCGAGGCTGAGGCAGGAGTGCAGGCTGCCCAGCGCGCGGAGGGGCAGGGGGCCGGGGCGGGCGGCAGAGCAGGGCTGCGGAGCCCCGGCCTAGCAGCGACGCGGATCTGCCGCGGCCGGAGCCCCGGCACGCAGGGCAGCGCGGGCAGGCGCCCGGCGGGCAGGACCTGCCGTGCAGGTGTGGTTCCGATAGCTCCACTTCCGCATGCCCAGCGGTTAGGCAGCCGCTTGGAAAAGCAGCGAGGAGAAAGCAGGAGCCCTGTTTATTTGGAATAGGGGATTTGTCAGTGTAATATTGGATGTCTGGCTGCCCTGCAAGTGCACCAGGCTCTGTGTGAAGGAGGAAAATAC